TTGATACCCTTATCATGATTGGTTAAAAAATTAATTTCTTTTTCTGTTTGAAAGGTTACAAAGTTGATTTTTCCTCTCTGGTTGTTGCTTCCCTTCTTCGCCTTTCGTGCACGCACAACAGTTATGGGCGATGTTGCACCCTTACCGTTGCCCTACTGCTATTGCAACAGTGGGGCATCGCTTCTCAATAGCTACATAGCAGAGCTATAGAAATCTGTGCTGTGTCATAACAAGGTACCATGTGCGGCGTGGGATGATGGTTGTTGGTGCGATGGTGATGGTTGGTGCGATCTGTGTTTGTGATGCGATCTGGTGGTGGTGATGGTTGGTAGTGCAAGTTGTGATGGTGGTGGTGCAATTGTTGTGGTGGTGGTTTGTGGATCTAGGGTGGCGAGTGAGGGGAGTAGATGATAGCTAATTTGTAAGATTTTTTGTATCCAATTATTTGATAATATGTGACCAATAAATAAGTTGTGCCCAATTAGTTTGATACTTTATTATTGATGAATAAGTTATAATCAATTAATATTATAATTTGTGATCGATAAATAATAGGTGATCAATTAATTTAATAATTTGTGATCAATAAATAAGTTGTGATTTATAAAATTTGTGATTTTTGATCAAGAAATAAGTAGTGATCAAAAAATAAGTTATGAGCAATAAAATTTGTGATTTATGACTGTAACTTTGTGTGATTGTGACTAATGCATAACCGTAATCATAAAATGTATGTTATTGTGATATTAATATCACCTGATTTTTGAAAGGATTCCACAAGTTTGTTAATTATGAAAATGTAATTTGTAACTTTTATTGTTGTGTAATTAACCCAATTAAAGCAAAAAGTAATTTTTGGACCCGATCTTCCTTTGGGAAAATTTCATAACTAAGAGGTTTAATTTTATCAATTTCAAATTTAAGAAACTAAGGCCCTGTTTGATACGCCAAAATTTTCAGGGAATTAGGAAAATATTTTCCACTTTTCACTTTTTTTGCTGTTTGATAGGCGAAATT